TTAACTGCCCCAATTAGGTCCATTCATTGCATTCGTCACAAATAAATCATATCATCCATCCATAATACATATCAAAATAAAGTAAAAGATCCGCTCTTGCCTTATGGTTAAAGGCGGGCCACAAACCGAGTTTAGTAATGTAATTAATAATAAATGATAAGAAATAAAATCTTAAAAATCTTAAAAAATCTTTCATAATCATCAATAAATTAATTGATTTAGTTTGATTAAGACTCGTTTGCCATAATTGATCAATTTCCGAATTGAGATTTAAAAAGAAATCTGCCTTAATTAAAGTAAAATTTAAAACAAAATAACAAAAATAATTGAAAACTGAGGAAACAGTCGCCGTCACGCGGGTGTTATATGGAAGAACAGGTCGCGTGCGCGACTCTTATTCCTTTTATTCTGGGATTGTATTAGTTGGCTATTTTCACGCATCTGTCCTCTGAAAAGAGACAGTCGCGTGATGGAACTCCTTAGTTATGGTCCTGTAGATTAGGGGAATGTTGCGTCATGCAGCTGTTCTACGAAGAACAGTCGCGTGACGGAACTCCTAACTACGTGACGGGAGCAATGTTCGTGGATTTATTTTCAAAAATATTCCGACATATTAATTATTTTATTTACAGTGAAACGTTAAATGCGAATATAAAGCAAAAAAGTAACTGAGTGCTGTGAAACAGCTGCGTTCACGCAGGTGGTCCAATCCCAAGTTAAGAGAAGGTTTAATGATTACCTAACCCTCAGATTCGAGGATTGCATGCCACTTTGCTTGATTTTAGGGAACCACTTGCTTCACAATCCCAAGAGTGTTTGTTGTCAAGTTTTTTTGGAAAATAAACTGTTTCTTTTTCCTTTTCTTCTCTTTTTACTCTTTTTACATTCCTTTTCTTATCCTTTTTTTGTATTTTTTGATTTTGAATCTAAAATATCTATGACTCGATCTTCCCCAAGTTTACTCAGTTGAATTCTTAAGGAAGAACTCTAATCGTTAACCTAAAAACTTAAACTCAGAATGCGATCTTTCTTTGAGGAAATGAGAGCAAAGTGTCAAAAGTCCCATTTTTGCTACTGTGAATACTCAAATTTTGAGGCTCAAAAAGCCAGTTTTCCAGGACTGTAAACAGTCCGACCTGCTACAGTGCCGTGCCAATTAGTTTGACTTTGCTACAGTGAGTTTGACTTTCCTAAAAGCCAATTTTCCCGGACTGCAAACAGTCCGGCCGGACCGGAGGCCATTTTGGAAACTCATCGAAAGTATGTCCTGTTAGAGCTGCGTGACGCAGCTAAGAGTGCCGTTCACGCAGGTATTAGCTGCGTGACGCAGCCCTAAACCACGGTCAGATACCTTTGGGCGGTTTTGGTTCAATTTATTGTCAAACACTTTCTGGTTCATCGGATACCTTATCCCCCTTGTCCTTTCATATCATCATCGGGTCAGGTGGAGGGCATAAAATCACGCGTCAACATGCAGGTAACAGGGAGGATTGCTTTGGCTGTCCTTCGACATAAAATCAAAAGGACCTGCCGATCAGCGCTACTTGCTATCCAGACTCCAAAAGTTGGAATAGAGGAGAAGAAATTCATTTGAAATTTCATTTTTTATGCAATGGAGAGAGAAAAAGATTCTCAATCGTGCCAATAAGTCAACAAATTTAAATGTTTTAATCAAATTCGTCAATTAAGTTCAAATTTTCTCATCAAGTATTCTTAAAGAAAGAACGCTCGATTCATGTCAAGGTACCCTGCAAAACAAAGCATAGTAAAATAATGCCCTAAAGAAGGCCCGGTTAGTCTATGTAGCAATTGTAGTCTACTTATGCAAAAAGATTACATAATGTCCCCAGCAGAGTCGCCAAACTGTGAACCCCTCCCCACAACATCATAGGCATACAAATGCATGTGACTAAAGGGCAGAAATGCACGTGAATGTATGAGTCGCCACCTTGTTTAATTTTAATTATTTCAGGGTAAACTAGGAAAAACCCTAAGTGACGTCCCAATTAATTAAACCTAATTTACTAGATTAATTATCCCAATGTTAAGGCATGGTTGTGCAAACCCGAGGTTGGATCCCGAGACTATGTCATGCCTGATGAACTAACCATGAATGAATGCTTCTGACAAAGGTGATTTAATGTAATAATCTAGACCCAAAATTAAAGTGATTTCGACTTGCGCTCGGTGTTAATCCCGGAACGTTGCCTACGTACTTCCTTTCGAATGGAGATCAAAGTCAACGCTAGTTCGATAAGCCTTTTTTTTCTTTTTTGAAAAAAGGGGGGGGCCTTTTTCTTTTTGGGAAATGGGTTGCTTAATGCATGAGTGTGTGTTTGCTTGTGCATTTGTTTAGGCATTTTGCCAAAGAGCTGATGATTTAATGTTTTAGGCATTTTTGATGCCAAAAATGTTGATTTTAATGGCTTTTTATGCCAAAAAGAGTATTTAGGCAATTTTTGCCAAAAGTTTTGGATGTATTTAGGCAATTTTACCAAAAAATTGTTATCGATTTTGTTCGCCCAATATTTAAGGCATTCTGTGCCAAAAGTTGGTATTGAAAAGCTTTTAGCCAAAAGATTTAGGCAATTTGAATTTGCCAAAATGATTGTTTTTAGGCGATTGTCGCCAAAATGATTGATTTTAAGGGCTTTTTAGCCAAAAATGATTTGATTTTAGGCTTTTAGCCAAAAAGAGTGATTTTAGGCATTCTGACTGCCAAAATGATTGATTTTAGCGATTGTCGCCAAAATTTATTGATTTTAACGCTTTTGCCAAACTTTAATTTAAGTGATTTGTCGCTAAAAAGTGGTTAAATTCTAATTTATAGGCAATTTGGTTGCCAAAAATTGATGTAACCGTGCGGCAATTTGTTGCCAAAATGTGGGTTTGATTTTAATTGTAGGCAATTTGTTGGCCAAAACGTGATTGATTAAGGGCTTTTAGCACAATTATTGATTAATTTGGACTTAATCCGGATGTTCAAATAAAGGCAATTAACCGTAGTTATTAATTTAACTAGGTCTTTTTAGCCGGATATTGTTCGGATTTTGGGCAATGAATACCACGATTATTAATTAACTGGCGCCATTCCAAGCTTAATTATATTTTTAATTAAGGCAGTTTATTTTGCCTAAATGATGGCATGGAATGATCTTTATGCAGTTGTAGAATTTTAGGAGTAGAAGAGAAGCATGCATGAGTGTTTTAAAATTAAAATAGGCAGAGTTTTAGTTTATGTACCTGATTTAATTTAATCGTCGGCCACTTCTCAACTCCAGGTTAAGCTCCTCGTTAAGGGAATGTTAATTAATTTTAATTTTAGTGACCAAATAACAAAACAAGAAAGCAATAAAACTAACTAAAAAAAATGCAGAAAAGCGGTAAAGAATAGCAAGGAGCGTAAGGGAGAAGGAGCGTCCGTCAACACAGAATGAGTGAGGAAAACGGAGGGCCTCGAGGCCAATTTATAGGCAAAACGGACTGTTTCGGCGGCCTAGGCCGCTAGGTCGGCCGCTCGGGCCGCCGGGGCTTGGCGGCCCTGCCACCGGCGGCCAGGGCCGCCGAGCCGCCGAACCTACGGCGGGCGGGGTCGGAAGTCGATCGGCCGGGCCGCCGGAGAGCCGCCGTGTCAAGTGGCTTTGCTATTTACGCTCTGGGGGCTTTTTCTGGAGTTCCGGGGACTCCAAAAATATTTTTGAAACCAGTTTCGCGATCCTCGCGACCCCATCCCGGACCGTTTTTCAAGTACCATATTGCATTACTTTCGGTGAACTTCCAAAATGGCCTTTGGTCGGTCGGACTATTTTGCAGTCCGGGGAAAATTGGTCTTTGAGCCTTCAAAAATTTGGTATTCAACACCTTCAGGATCCACCTCGGGTTTGCCACCACCATGCCTTTTAGACATTGGGGATAATTAATCTAATAATTAGGTTAATTAAAATCGGAGTTAACTTAGGGTTTTTTCCTAGTTTACCCTAAAATAATTAAACAAGGTGGCGACTCTAACACACTCACGTGCATTTCTGCCCTTTGTCATATGCATCATATGCCTATGCATTCGGGGTAGGGGTTCACAGACGCGACTGTTCTAAGGTTCCAGAATAAACTCATTATTTTATTTTATTTTATTTTGTGTAATTAAATAAATGTTCAATTTCTTTTTATGATTCAAGAAACAACCAATAATGGGCAGATCATAGTTTAATCAAATCAAATAGGTTAATATTTTATCATGCATGATTATGGGATTTTAGGGTTTATTGTATTTTAATTGGGTAGAATGTATTTTAGGTTCGGTTTATGGCCCGCCTTTAACCATAAGGCAAGAGCAGGTCTTTAAATTATTTTGATTTGATTACTATAGGATGAATGGCTGATGTGGTTTGAATGATTATGAATGCAATGAATGAACTTATTTGGGACGATTAAACGATTTTCCATATAGGAACTCGGTTTGATTTATTCGGGTTGGGTTTATGTAAATAAATTGGCTTTTTCTAAAATAAAATGAAATTAAAAATTATAGGTTAAAAGAGGCCGGTTTTTCGGGCGTCGACTTCCAATGGGTCGACGTACCCAATTCCCTTATCCAGAATCGCATTTGGTGCGTCTGACCAGTCTTTTTAAAATAATTGGCCTTAAATAAAATTGGGTTAAATGAAGTCTTTTTTAATTGGAAACGGTCCCATTGCCGAAATGATGGGTGGCGACTCAAAATGTTTTATAAGACCGATTTATCGGCATCGTGTTCCTAAAAGGTTTTGTCACCATGTTCCTAAAAGGTTTTGTCACCATTTAATAAAGACCATATTTCCAAAACAAACAATAAACAAAACATAAATCAAAAGAAATCGAGCGTTTTTAGGGTCTCTCGGGGGCGGTGCGAAAACAAGAACAAACCTAATATTCCCGCTGATGATGCTACTGAAGAAGAAAGGAATAACTTCATTCGTCATACTGATGACGACGAGCAGGCAACATGTGTGATGTTAGCCAACATGAGTCCTGAACTTCAAAGGCAACATGAGAATATGGATTCTTGCACCATTATCTTGCATCTCAGGGAGCTGTTTTACTCTCAAGGTAGGTCTGAGAGGTATGAGACATCTAAGGAATTGTTTTGCTATAAGATGGTAGAAGGCTTTTCAGTTCCTGTTCACGTTCTGAAGATGATTGGCTATATTGAAAAATTGGGCCACTTGGGCATTGCCATGGACCATGAGTTGAGTATTGACTTAGTCTTACAGTTCTTATCACCCAGCTTTTCACATTCTGTTTTGAATTTTAATGTGAACAAGCTGGATCTTTCTTACCTAAGTTGCTTGGTATGCTTACCACTTGAATTTTAATGTGAACAAGCTGGATCTTTCTTACCTAAGTTGCTTGGTATGCTTACCACTGTTGAAGGAGCCCTTAAGAAGGATACAGCTCCAATACTTTTAGTTCGATCTTCTAAGGCTAAGAAAAAGCCCAAGAAGAAGCAGAATAAAAAGAAGGCACTAAAGCCCAATGGAGGTGTAACTAAAGAAAATTGTACCTATCACCACTGTGGCAAAGATGGCCACTAGAGGAGGAACTATAGGGAATATCTCACGATTGTGAAAGCAAAGAAGCTTGTTGAAGCTTCTACTTCAAGTATGTTTATGATTGAAATTTTTCTTTCTACTTTTAGTTCTTGGGTATTAGATACCTAATGTGATTATCTTATTAATAATAACATGTAGGAACTAAAGAAAAGTAGAATATTAAGGAAAGATGGACCTATATGTGACCAGTGGAGCAAAGGTTACTGCATTAGCTCTAGGAACATATTTTGACTTAGTATTAGAAATAAATAATTGTTATTTTATTTCAATACTTAGTAGAAATATTATTTTAGTTTTATATTTAGTTTTGAATAATGGATTCAAATTTTGTTATTGAGAATAGTAGTTGTTCTTTTTATAATAAAGATATTCTATAGAACTTGAATCAATACAGATGATTCATATGATGTTTCTATTGATAGACTCCTCATCAACATAAACATCAAGAAACCTTGGATAGATAATAAAACTTATCATATATTTTTAGCATTATAGATTTGGTCACATTAATGAAACAAGAATCACTAAGTTACATAAAAAGGTTATTTTGAACCTTTTGATTATGAATCATATGAAACTTGTGAATCCTGTCTAATACCCCTCTACGTGAAAAGGTGAAAGGTAAAAAAAACTATTGGCACCTAATACATTCAGATGTATGTGGACCAATTACTACCCAAGCTATAGGTGGATATGAATGTTTCATTATATTTACTGATGACTATACTAGATATGGTTGTGTGTATATATAACGAAACACAAATCTGAACTTTTGAAAAGTTTAAGGAATTCAGAAATGAGGTTGAGAAACTAACTAAAAGGTATTAAAACACTTTGATTCAAGCGAGGCAGAAAATACTTAAGCACTCAGATATTATCTATTAGAAAATGTGATCGTGCCTTATTAGATATAGTACGATCCATGATGAGTCTTGTAGAATTACCTTCATCCTTTTTAGGATATGCCTTTAATAATGCGATATACCTTCTAAATAGAGTTCTATCCAAATATATTGATAAGATTTCATATAAGATGTGGGCCAACACACTTATGTGAAGCGTTTGGGATCTGATAAACTATGAGCTAAATAGATACATGTAAGCTAGTGAGATATCTAAAAGAAATTATTGGATATTATTTCTACCATTCTGTTGAAAGAAAAATGTTTATCTCAAGACATGCTACCTTTCTAGAAAAGGAATTTGTCCTCAAAGGAAGTAGTGGGAGCCAGATAGAACTTGAAAAGTTCAAGAACCTCAAACATACATTAAAGATGGAACTAGAACAAAAGATTGTTATATTAGATAAACAGTCAAAATACATTAGTTATAGAACCACCGTCTAAATCTGTTAGGATGAGCCGTGCTCCTATTAGGGTTGGACCTTCTTGAACAGCACTTAAAAGAAAATTAAATAAAAATGAAAGAGTGTCTAAATTAATAACAGGGTAATTCGTATTGATATTGATACGCCAATCCCTGGCAACAGCGCCAAAAACTTGACAGCGGTTTTCGCAAGTGTACGAAATCGCAACAAGTAATATAGAGTAAGAAAGTATCGTATCCATAGGGATTGTTTCTCAATTACCAAAATTATGTTAACCTATTATTATTTAGACGATGATGAAAGGAATTCGCTGTAAAGTAAATAAAATTCAAAGTAAAAGAGATTAAACACAAAATTTAGGTGAAAAGAAATCAGGGGATTAAGCTACTAGGGAATTTGATTTCATTTAATTCCATCCAGCCTATTCTATTAGTTCATTAATCAAGTTTAATTGTTCAAGTAGGAGAAAACAACCCTAAGGTTACTAACAAGCTCTCCCGATTTATTGTTAGCTATTAAAATCATTAACAAGTTCTTTCGATGTACTGTTAGCTATTTTAACCCGATCTAATTACCTATCTTCCAATAGCGAAATGATTAAGTTTTATGGTTTATTTAAGAATTTATAACCTAAGGTTGTTAACTCATAAAAACCCCCATGAGTCAAACCATATAGTTTTCACATCAAGTTATTATTTTCATGTAATTTATTAAATTTTTCATATCAAAAACTCTTCTTCCGATAGTAATTAATGAAATAAATTAATCCAGGGGAGAAATTCTGCCTGAAAGCATTAAGTTTAATAATAAATTATACTTTAAACAAAGAAAAAATAAATTCTAATATATTATTAAGCTGGAATCGAATTTAAATTACATCAATCCCTAGTATAAAAGTTATAGCTAGACATAGTAATTAATTTAAGGCTCAATCTACCTTGAATCATTTCATTATATTTAAAGGGACCAATAATAAAGAAAAGAAACAAGATGAAGAGTTTTTTTTTAGAATAAAAACTATATCACAACTATGTTGATGGCTTCCTTGAATCTTAGCACAATTATTTGAAGCTTGAAATCTTTGAGAAGAAGAGAATTATGTAAAGGAGTGTACAAAAAACCAGATCCTTTGCTATGAGAAGTTCCTTTCTTTATATAGAGGTCCTGAAGGCAAGTCTGACTCCTTTTAGGAAATAGAATCCTTATTTAGTAAAAAATCCTTTATAGGAGATCATAACTGTTTAGGCTCTTGATTTCTTCTTGATTAGGACTCCTTTTTCTTCAAGAATAGGTCCAGGTCTTATTTAGTGTGTTGTTTAGTGTGTTTAGGAAACTCCCTGAAGTCGGGCCCAAAGTCGGCCCATGTGAGAAAGGCTTGATTTGCGTGTTAAATTCACGCTGGTTCCGCCTGGGCAGCACGGGCGTGCTTCATGGCACGGGTTGGGCATGCTGTAGTTTGGAGGTCTGGCTAGTGAAGCACAGGGCGTGCTAGGTAGCACGGGCTAGTGAAGTACTGAGGCACGGGCGTGCTACAGAGCACAGGCAGGGCGTGCTCCTCTCTAGAAGTCTATCTAGAGTTGCCATGGGCGTGCTATGCTTGACACGCCCTGGTCCCATTGTAGCACGACCGTGCCTTTTGACACACCCTGGCCGTGCTCCGTCTCTTCCTTTTGGTTTACTTTTGGCTTTCTCGCAACCGGGCGTGCTTTCCAGCACGGCTGGGCGTTGCTAGAAGCTTGAGTGCTTTGCATTCTAAGTTCTTTTCTGCGCCAAATTTCTGCAATTTTCTGCTTAGATCAAGCGGATTAAAGAACCAAGAGCTTTTAAACACAATTTATACTAAAAGTTGGATTTTAAATAAATTTAAAGAAGTTAAAAACTTACTAAAAATTCTAATTAAAAACTAATATTAAAATAATAAAAACTATATTAAAAACACTATAAAATTAACACCTATCAAAATTCCCCAAACTTAAACCATTGCTTGTCCTCAAGCAACCAAACTAAAATAAAATAATTTGACGACACTAGCTTACCATGGTTGGAGATGATCTTCAATAAACTTTTCAAGATATCATGATTAGTAAATAAGTGGATAAACTCAATTGTTCTCCATACTATTCACATTTAAGCTTGACTTTTATTTCTTGAAGGAAACACGTTCATTGAGTAAAATACAAGTTTAGAGAGATTGTCAACACTAATACTTATTCAAATTATGATAAACAGGACATGAATCATCTAAAGCATTAGACAAATTTATTAGAAGCAAAAGTGGCATTCCCATATGCAGAATTAGTCATTCATTTCTTCCACGATATTAAATCATACGATTAAAAATCAGAAGGTCTTTATTTGGGTTGTAATGGGGCTTTCTTGGTGTAACTTTTGCTTGATCAAAAGGAAAGGGATAAAATGTTAGACAAGAGTTACAAAAAGGATGTATATAATATTCAAGATCTCTATTTTAATTAAACTTTTTACTAGTATCTAGGAGTGTTAGTTCTAGGGAGTGTCTTGTTTGAAACTTTCTTACTAGCTAGAGGCATCTTGGACAAGGTCTTTTCTTAATATTTTGGCACTTTTCTTCCTTGCCCTTTTTTCTATTTTTCTTGAATTCTTTTGAATGCTTTTCACGTGCCCCTTTCTTGATTCTTCCTTCTTTTCTTTATTTGCTAGTATTGATTGATGAATTCTCCCTCTTTGTTGCTATATTTTAATTAAAGATCGAATCTTTTAATTATACAATCCTTTGTACTTAGGGTGGGAAATTTGAATTTTTGGTTTCAATGGCTTGGTTTATTGAGGTGGTTTTAATGGCTTGGTTTATTGAGGGTGAGGAAGAAAAATTTACGGTTTTTAGGCTTCAAAGTTGGTTTCAAAAGTCATATTTTTAATTTAGGTGGTCTAGGCTAAATATAGGTTTCAACAAAAAATTGCCTAAATCATCTCTTTCAAAACGTAAACATTTAAATTTTTCCTCGGTAAGGGATTTTCTAAGTTTTTGTTCTAGAATGCCGAGGTTTAAAATATCTTTAAGAGTGAAACCACACCTATATATTCATATACTACTCATAAAAATCGCAGTGTTTAAAACTTCTAAAGAAATAAATAATTTTAGATCAATGAAACATATTTAAATCAAATTTCAAATCATAACGTACTTAAATATTTGCTAGAATTGAGAATTACAATTATGTTAACATCTATTTATGGTAGACAGAATCAATTATGTTTAACACTTATTACTAGACATGAGAACCCTCAAGCTTGCTTGTAATCATTCCAACCATGTTAAGCAAAAACAACAAAAAATTTTTTAGCTAAAATTCCCTTCCCCCAATTCAATCAATCACATTGTCCCCAATGTGTATAAATTCCCCAAACTTATTGCATTACTTGAGGGAAAGCAGTAAGAGAGAAGAAGAAAAACTTACCAACATTGTATTGAATAATACAATAGAAAGATGGTGGAAAGTGTCTTAGCTAAAGGAGCAACTAAACATGAAGAACAAAAACTACTAAGACGTTATGAAAATCCACATAACAAATAAACAAAAAGTGAAAAGAACCACGACAATGTATTAGAACAAAAGAAACATAAACAAAAACAGAAAATAAAAGATAAATCCATCAATTTTCTGGTGGTGGGGGT